TGATAAACGGAGTACCTATATTCATAGGCAGTAGGTTTAGAGACTAAAATTAAATCTCAAGGCTTCTAGTCATTCTTGTTGTTAAATTTTCTGACAATTATGTTAGAATACCTCGCTTTTCCATTGAGTTTCACTTAGCCTTGTCTCCCAGAGGGTATTCTGATCCAGGCTAGACTTCAGTCTTGATCTTGCCTGGGTCTCATTAGCATCCTCAAATAAATTCTAATCCGATTAGCCAAATATAAGTTTGCCTTACCCTACTATAAATATGAGATGAGAAAGGCCTAGCCTTCCATGATTATCGGGCCATAAGGTAATGTCGTGTATTGGTAGTATGTCGAAATTATATGCTGTCCTACTCATTTTCGATTCCCGTAGGGGGTGCACAGACACAGACGGAGGTAGAAATTGCAGTCCATCATGGATATAATAATTTATGTGAAATTCAATGGAAACATGAAGCCTTCTGATATCAGTGTGCGAACATTCAACTATCAGTCCTTGTTTCCCCTATGCGACCAAGGGTAAATGGAACTCTTATTCAAGGTGAAGTATCTCGCTAAAAAAGGAATCGACCTCTCAAAGGGCGGATACTGAGTAAGGTATAAATGGACAGTCATATAAACACAAATTATTCCGGACAAAAAATAAATCTGCTAAGCATTCGTGCAATGATACATTGACACAGTATCCATTATGCAATACTAACTAACCAACTTCCATTATTCACTTGTCAAATAATTCGTTTAAGTAAATGCAACAAAAATGCTAACCCAAGAAGAGTGTCCCTGCACGTAAATGCATCTCTTGAACCAGGAGAACCCGTAATCCGCCCGTCAAATCAGCCAACTCTAAATCTGCTTTCTGAAAACGACTATCCTCGTTTGTCTTCATATTAGTATCCATCCAGACAATATCCAAATCATGTACTTCCAAACCATTCAAAAGACTATGCGTTTCTGGTGTTTCGTGAATTGTAGCTTCTTCCTTCTTCTTACTCTGGCCGTTTTCCACCCTTCTAATTGTATCATCATCAACAGCAACTGTAGGATGAGTGAATGTATGACCTGTCTCGAGGGCCTCTGTGCTATCATTTCCTTCTAGCATCTTCACCTGCTTTCTTTCGAGCATGTTCTCCTCTTCTTTTAAGAGATGATGGCCGGCCACTGCCGTAATCAAACCTGAGTTCCCAGATTGGGCCAAATTAACTTCCAGCCCGGGTTCGGACGTTCTCATTATTCTACGCGTGCCTCTCCGAGGCCGGCCCCCATGACCTACAGACGATGTGATATGACAGCCTCCATGAATGTTGCGGCCAGCATTGATCCCAATTATAGTGGTTGTAGAAGTATCGAGGGTTTTAGTTGAACTTTTTCGTTTCCTTGATAGTCGAGGTAGGTCAATGGTACAGGTTCGTTCTCCAAAGAAGGAACGAGATTCAAACAGCTCCGGAGAGGAAGACAATACAATACGAGATGATGGCGGCTTAACCAGTTGTCCTGATGGAAGAGAGGCAGTGAATTCAGCTGTTGTAAAACTTCCGGAATAAGTGACGGCTGTTTCACCGGTAGTAGCCGACGGGGTTGGAGAGGTTGCCGCATGGAAATGTGATGAAATTGGTGACGAGGAAGACGTTGTAGATCGAGAGGGAGAGGAGGAGCAAGACAAATTGGAAGAGCTGGTGCAAGATGAAAAGGAGTATAGAGAGGATGGTGGCTGCATAGACGAGCAGCCAGGAGGACTTGATAGCAGTGGAGGAGATGGACTCATGAGGCCCAGTGGGCTTACAGAGCACCTCTTGAGTCTACCGGCGCAAATAAGGCCTAGAAGAATAAAGAAAAACGTTTTCGGAAATACAAAACAAAGTTTACTAAGTAGGCAGCAAAAGTAAACGATGTGGAATGCGTTTCTGATAAAAGGTAAGTATAGATTACTGATGAAGTGGAATGTAAAGTATTACTGAAACGAAGTCAGTAAAATTATCCACATACTGCTACAAATAGTGACAGAACTTTATAACTTTTATCCTAAAAATTAAAATTTAATCGAAGGTATGAAGACCAAGATGGTGTGGCCTTTTGTGTGGTCGCAGACTCCTTTCATTGTATGGAGGTTGTTTGACCTTGTTTTCGCAACTTGGTCATATTGGTAGGAAGACTTAAAGAAACGTACCTAGTCCGGAGTCCATTGTATGCATCATCGTTTCCAGAGTAGGACCGTGGACGTGGTACATTCACAGACGCTTCGCTGGCATCGTAGTCGGCATCGTCAGTGAGTCTCGCCATTCGTTTGCACCACACAACAACTCGTCAAAGAGACAAGTGAAGCCGATCCTTTGACCAAACGTGTGCTAAGCAGTTGGGGTATCTCCCCTTCTGTCCTGGGCTATTCACATTTCCTATATCCTTCTATTACACCTTCACTGTCACAATATTTTAGCGTACTTATT